CTGAGATAGTCATTGAAGGTTTTATTCACATACTCTCTTCCATTATCAGTATGCAATATTCTGACATTATGCATGTACTTATTTTTGATCATAGCATTGTATTTCATGAATATGTCCATCACATCACTTTTATGTTTGACAAAATATACATGCCTGTAACTTGTAGCAGCATCCTTAAATAATATAAAGTATCTCATACCTTGGATAGATGTATGACTCATAGGTCCACAGACATGACTATATACAAGGTCACCTGGCTGTAGTTCTCCTCGTATAGATTTGTGAAATGGAAATCTGCACTGCTTTCCATATGCACATGCTTCACAAACAAAATCAGTTTTATCACTGTTATTCAGTTTCAAGCCTTCTACCACATTATCAGCACTCATACTCTTGATTTGTTTTAGGTTAACATGTCCCAGTCTTTCATGCCACATTTTAATGTTATTTTGATCACTTTGAACTAAGTTACAGGTATCTGAGACCACAGCTTTAATTTTCAATTCATATAAATTATTTTCTGTTATTGTTGCACACATTACCAAGTCATTGCCTTTGTAAATGAATGCACCAGAGTCTTTCTTGATAATGATATAGGATTTACGCATTATCACACCTTCTGAGAACAGATTTCGTCGCAAATTCGGAACATACAATACATCATGTAGTTCACTGTTCTCCCACTGTCCATTGACACATCTCTTTATTAACACCTTGCCAATGCCAGCCACTTCCACTGACTGTTTGTTTCCTAATGTCAATGATTTCTGGTTACATTCCAATAGTTCTAGAAAGAACTCCTTTCTATAGGTCATATGTGCAGAGGCACCACTGTCTAAAATCCACACATTGTCTTCAGCTTCATGGAATTTGGTTTCTACATTAAACGCTAACAAGTCTGCACCTTCCTGTTGAGGTTTTCTAGACTTGGATTTCTTTGGAGCACGACATTCTCGAGAAAAATGTCCTCGTTTCCCACAATTATAACATTCAAATCTGTGTTTACTGTTTTTATTTTGATTTGAATTACTAGCATTTCTATTCAGCTCGCTTTGTTTTGGGCTATTTTTCCATCCTTTCTTAGCCACAAGAAGAGCGGTTTCTTGTTCTTCTTCACACTGTAAACTAGCTTCTTCATCTAACAAACGAGCAGTGAGATTGACAAGAGTCTGTTGCTCTGGATCCAAAGACATCCACGCTTGACGGAGTGATCTATACTTATGAGGCAGTGTTCCAAGTATTTTTGTTATCACAGCCATTTCACTAATACTTTCGCCACTTTCTTTTAACTGCTTGGCCAATGATTCCACTTTAGAAATGTGTTGAGCTACACTGTCATTTGTAGACATTTTATACTGGTAAAACTTTTCATGGATCAACAAAGTAGGAAGATGATATCTATTGATACTTTGATATAAATTTGGATTATGTATGTATAACCAATTTAATGTGGCAGTTGTCATAGTACATTATATACGAACCAAACGGAATAATAAATGATTTTGTTTGGTTCTTCGAATATCTTTTGGTAATATATCGTCAATACAATGTGTAACTATCATTATCGGCGTTTAGGGACATAAAAGCTCAAGATCGAAAGGAATTCGAAGGGGTAATAATATTATATATATATATATATATATATATATATATATATATATATATATATATATATATATATATCGAAGGGGTAATAATATTATATATATATATATATATATATATATATATATATATATATATATATATATATATATATATATATATGGTTTATTGGCCTCTAAAGCTAACAAAATCCGTTATATAATTACATCAAATATAAATTTTCTAAGCAGCTTTATAAAACCATGTACATTTTCAGCGTTTACAATTTCATTGGGCAATTCATTGAATAGTTTAATGCCATCAATTAAAATATTTACATGTTTTTTCTTTATTAAATCTTTGTACATAGAAATCACTTGCACTACGAGTATTGTATGAGTGCACGCTATTTACTTTTATGAGTCTACTCACTAAATAATCTGGCAAAAGCTCATATTTCAATTTAAACACAAAAACTAAGGAATTAAAAACTAATCTTTGACGAACATTCATCAAATCTAATGTCTGCAACATTAATCTGATAGGAGAGTATTTATTACACTTTAGTATTATTCTCATAGCCCTGTTTTGTAATTTTTGTAATTTTTCAAGTTCTGATTTGTTTCTAAAGCACAACACTGTCGAACAATAATCAAAGTGAGGTGCTATCAGGGATGCTACAGTAATATTTTTATATACATTGATAAGCCTTTTCTAGTCCTACTCAAAAAATTTTTAAGGTAATGTTTAGTATAATTTAATTTGTTAGTTATGTTAGTCGAATTCAATTGAATATATTTCATTTATATATTTACCAAACTTATTACGACATACTTACTCATTACACTGCGCAACAATGAAAATGTTTTAGTCTCAAAATTAGTCGTATGTCTTCTCGTTTACTGAATGCGAAAACAACAATTGAAAGAACCGATTAGCTCTAGTTTTAGAGATACAAGCTACTTTTCATATTTTATAAATTCTTCTTCGATTTGCTGAAAATTTGTTTTTCAAAATTGGCAACATTATTAATTCTCAAAATACACATAAATTGTAATTGTCAAATTATAATTTGACTGTCAAAAGATTACTAAGTGTGATACTATTACGGTAACGGTGAAATTTATAGTATTTCGTGCATATTATTTTGTTTTTGAGTGTTTTTAAGAGAGAAGATCAACATGCCACTGAAATGTGTAAAAAATAACGTTTGATCTACAAAAACGCAATTTGACGCCTATTGTAAAGACATCAGGCATTGGATGCACACAGATGTTGCGTATCTTGTTCAGTTATATTGCGAGAATGACTGGAAAATAAAAGACGATCCCTGACTTTTAATGTGTCTATGATTTGTCGGGAGCCCACTAATCACATAGACGATTGTTATTTTTGCATGATTCCGTCTATAAAAGCAGGATTGTCAAAGAAAAAAATGAAAGCTGTTAAATACCCAAGTCTTCCATCAGCTACTCGATCTGTTCCACATTTAGACAGTTTACCAGTTCCTACACCGCCACAGACTTATGAGTTGGAGACAGAAAAATAAAACATCGTAGAAGGAGAACCTAGCGAGCCTGCAATATCTTATGACCTTGATTTTGAAGAAGAAAAAGATGATCAACTCATATATTGAGTTAATCGGAGTTGAATGTTCTCATTAGATATCTTGATTGTCACAGGAGAAGGCGGAACTTCTAGGATCAAGGTTGTCGTCAGGGTTACCAAGTACAGACAACGTCATAGGAATTTGATTCCCCTTTATGAAAAAAACCTTGTTTTTGTTGTAATATTGATGACTTGGAAAGTTTCAATATGAAGCTTGATCCAACTGAATGGAGACTTTTCATAGACTGCTCTAAGCTTTGTTTGGGAGCTGAGTTGCTTCATAATGGCATCCGTCTATTTTTCATTCCTATTAGCTATGCGGTTCACATGAAGAGGACTTACGGAAACATGGCAGACCTAGAATCAATCAACTACCTGGAATACAAGTGGAAAATCTGCGATGATATAAAAGTGATTGCTATACTCTAGAAGGGATGCAATCAGGTATACGAAGTTGCTTTTATGTATGTGGGATATTAGGGATAGAAATTCATTTTATGTTCAAGCAGATTGGTCAGCAAGAAATTTTAACCCTAGTGAGAAAAACTTAATTGACGAGCCACTCGTAGATCAAAAAATGTTCTTCTACAAGCTGAGTTTGATGAATAATTTTGTCAAAGCCATGAACCGAGAAGGCCAGAGTTTTAAATACTTGCGAGACAAATTTCCTAATTTAAGTGATACAAAGGTCAAGGAAGGGATCTTTGTTGGGTCATAAATACGTGAACTTGTAAAGGAAAATGTAAAATGTAGAGCTAATGAATTTTTCTCTTTGTCATATTCGGTTTCTCAACCAAACATTAGTAAGAATTGTCTCATTTCAGTAAAAGAAACATCTAACTTTTTTGTTGCTCAGTGTTTTTGGTCTAAAAATCCAAATATATGTTGTGTGCCCAAATGAATCTCTCTTTATTGAAGTACAATTATTCAAATTTTAAAATTAAACTTTTGAATAATATTTCGGAAGAAAAGTAAATTAATTTTCAAACTTTGGGATCCATGTGGGTTAAAAGATATAGCCAGAATGTTCTTGTATTTTCTAAGTGTCATTAATAGAAAAATATATGTATGTGAAAATACATGTATATACACATCAATACCATAGAAACACGTGAGTCTTTTGGCGCAATACCTGACAAAGGACTAAGTCCAACGGACTGTGTCCTTTCTAGTTACAACTAGAAGCAACTAGTTACAACTAGTGTTTCTTTCGGTTATGCCGAATATTAACAATCTACATTCTAACAAATCATTGTTAACTCTGTTAGAATAGAATAAACCTCAGGTGAACAAGAAAATAACGATTTGGCGAGGTACTAAAATTTTGACTGGATCAGCATGGGTATAGAAGGTAAACACAACTGTAGCACTGGTAAAGTAGTGCCACCATCAAATGGCGTGATCTGTAGCTAACTGCTGTACCAACTTTGAGATTCAAACGGAGATTTGACCTTGAGTCGGTGATATTTGGCGAGAATTTCAGATTTTAAAGAATAAAGAATATTATTACATTATGAAAGTTCCAGTATACATCAAAATGTTCGAATATGTCACAGATTGTGGCGAATTAGTAAGTTTTCTTGAATCCATGAAAATGTTTCAGAGACAGTCACTTGATTACAGGTGTTCAGGATTGTGACATGCCAAAGGACTGACGTTTTAAGCTTACTGTGGTTTTATACGAGTACTGACTTGTATTTAAAATAAAGAGTTGAAATTGGATGACCAAATGAATAACTTTCAATAGTTTCAAAACGAAATGTAAAATCAATAAAATATTATAATACCTTATATCTATTAACTGACTGGTCTCCGTGGCTTAAACCACTTAGTCGGGAAAACATCCGACTATGGTGTGGTAGAATTTGGGTTCGAGCCCCGGTGGAGGCATGGCTGTATGTGTTTGTCTATGATTTTAGTAGTTTAATGATGATAATTGTTGGGAAATGTACATTGATTAGAAGTAAATTGGCTGTTGGAACCGGCGTTAAACTGTAGTTACACTGAATTAAAAAAAAATCTATTGACTGATGACATCGAGTTACCCATTTTTTGTTTATTTACCCACATATATTTTTTTAGGGCATCTGTTTAGATTATATCAATTAATTTATAGTGGGGCTTGAATTTCTTCAATTTTCGTAGCGTTTTATGTGCGATTGAAATGAACAAATCGGTCAATTTAAATGCTCTTTTTCAAATGTAATCTAGCTTCTGCAGAAGGAATATTCCGCTAATAATTATGTTCACTTCGGACGTCCTTCATTAAAATGCATAAATTTCATTCCGAGCCTTGACACGTTAATTCTAAATGAAGTAGTACCAATGTTAGTAGGTCAGTGTGACAGAACAATAAAAATCGTTCAACATTTATTTATGTAACATTTTTTCATTTTCGTTATCTGAGATAATTATTTATATTTGTTCAGTGAATAATAAGCACTACATATTTTTTGGAAGATGTCGGTTATGAAACACTAAACTAAATTCTATAGATAAGAGTTTACGATGTGTTATAAAATTGATTGATAATTAGTTTATCTCGAGAATATTTCATTTTCTATAAATTGGGTATGAATTAGAATGTCTAGATTATAATTGTTATAATCAATAGTTTATATAGGACGCTTTTCTGAAAAAAATATGTGATTCATTTGAAAGATCAGATTACTTTATATGGGTATATATTGTTGCGAATTGTTCATTTATTTTCTTTCATGGATATTTTGAACATACTCTCTCACATTTTTCCCCTACATTTCTAAACTCATTTGAAAACCTATGTTTTTATGAATACAAAATGAACATTATAATTGATTAAATTTTGAATTTTACTTTATGTAATTATGCTGTATATGTTCAATAAATTCACCTTTTCTCCTCCTAGCCATCTTTGATCATAAAAATATTGTTAATCTGTGATCTTCAGTCAATTCGTTATGTCTCGTATGTATCTATGACTACATTCATTATCAGATCTTCACAACTATAATTTTTTGAGATTCTGAATTATCACCATTATAAATTGTTTTACAAAAACTTAATCTTTTATGTGAAGGAGTAAATATGATATCTCAAAAATTTGTTCAGATTGTTTTCAACAGTAATTTTTAATTTCTTTCGATTTTTGATCATTGATACATACACCTCCAAACTAAAGAAGGGATATAGCCAAAACTGGTGAACATGGTGGTTGAGGCATGATTACGGTGTTGTTTTTGGCCAAAAAATCATGACCAAGCATTGATGTGTGAGCTGGTGCACTATCGTGATGCATGAAGCTGTATTGCTTCACGCAAACGTTGCGTAACTTCCTTGTAATGTTTCTTATTAACCGTACGACCTGTTGGCAAGAACTCATGGTGCACCACGCCGTTGTAATCGAAGAAAACATTGGGCAAAACCTTCACATTTGATTAAACTTGGGATGCCTGTTTCGGTTTTTGCTGTTCTTATCGCTTCCATTGGGATGATTGGCTCTTGGTTCCGACGTCATAACCATATACCAACGTTTCGTCACCAGTTATGACCCATTTGAGCAAATCTGGATCGTCGTTGACGTCATTCAACAACTCCTGAGTGATAATAATGCGACGTTGCTTCAAAATTGGGAAATTTCGGAACAAACTTCGTTGCCACGAGTTTCATGCCGTAGCATCAGAGAAAATTGCATGGCATGAGCCGATTGATATGCCAACATCCTCTGCAACTCCTCTAATAGTGATTCGACGATTTTCCAAAACCATTTTCATCATTGTATTGATGTTTTCTTTACATGTTGACGTGGTTGCGTTTCCAGGACGCTCATAGTCATCAACATCTTCTCGGCCTTCTGTAAAGCGATGTACCTGTTATGAACACTTTTTTGAGACAAAATAAACTTGCCGAATGCCATTCAACACACGAACTCTTCTCAAACTTGTGGTCCCTCTCTTGATTGTGCTTAATTATTTTCGTCTGATTTATTTCACAGCAATCTCTGATTTGATATTTTGGATTTCGTGCATAAACTTGATTCCTATGATGATTCATTCAATTTCAATTTATTATTGTTTATGTTGTTCTTCTGTCTCGAAACATCACAATTATTGAGGTTATGATTTTTCAGTTGTAAACAATTCCATACTTGAATTATTTATACAATATTCGTACATTTCAAATAAATACTGATATAAATATACATCATATGGTAAGGTGAAATACATTTAAATTATGTTTATTATATATATTTGAATTTCCTGGTTACTGTTCCAAACACTCTTTTAATAGAATTTTTGGAAGTGGATTTTACAGATACATTATATGAATACTATTGTGACAGAAACGAATTATACTAGAAATATGAATCAAAATAAATGAACGTTAGATACATATTTAACTACATACAAGTGATGTTATTAATTGTGCTAGTTTTTAAGACTGAATAACAAATGTATAAATTAAAAACTTTTGAAAGAAATTTTACTACCTCTTAACATATCATTAAATGGAATTAATTATATTTACAAAACTGTATGTATGTTCAAAATTTTACACAATAAAATAAATTGTATGAAATATGACTTTGTCGAAACAATCAATTCAGCAGCTTAGAAGCATCACTTTGAGAAAAATTGAACTTTGTTTATTCAGAATAACGCCCGATTGAAGCGTGGCACCGTGCGCGCTTGGAAGGCGCTCTTTCATGACATTTCAGTCAATTTCCATTTTAGCGACGATTATCTATATTCTTGAGAAACGGTCTAATGATGACACAATTTTTGTTTCGATTAGATATTGTTTTTGAATTGTTTATTGATCATTGAAGCTATTGCTGTTCTTATGGGACTTATTGCTCATACGGCGGCGGCGGTAGGATTCGGTTCGCGTCCCGGTGAAGTTGTTTTTGTTTTTATGACTTGAGAGGTTGAATTATAAATTGTTAATTTTTCGGCAATGTACTTAATTTACAAGCCTATTGGCCCTTGGAAACCGGGAATAAATTGTAGGTCCACCCAAAAACTTTATAATTGGTTTGACGAAATGGTGGATGCGCTTTGTTCTGCGACTTCAATTTTTGGTAGCGTACACCCATTCTTGTAGTTCAGCAAACGCCATTGATACATGAATATACTCATTTATTTATTGACTGTGAAATAATGATATGGTAACTGTGTTGGAATGTATTTATCAGGACTTAACCGACCATATTTTCGTATCTTAGATTAGAGCATGTCTGATTGTTTCGTAAAACATTCAATTGATAGAATCATACAGCGAGAAAACAGAATTTGCATAAATTTTTTTTAAATAGGTTGAACTGATAAAGAATATTTATTTGCACATTGTCGCTGGCGACCTTGGCATCAATAAAACTGGATTCACTCTCGTTGACACACTAACCTACTGCCACACTACCAATAATATAATATTCACATTCGCTTTCGTTATTTTTAAATACATTTTTCGGAATCAAAACATTTCCATACGCGAGACGATAGGTGAGTAATCGAGCTACAAATTATCGTACTAAGCATTAAATTGTTTATAACCTCGACATACATGCCTCCAGAGGAATAGTAAATAAGTAGATATCAACAACAATTTTCGGATAATCGTCTTCATATTGTTGAAGTAACGAAAATTCTCCATTGTTACAATTCTCAAATTGATATTTCAGTGAATACATAACGGAGCATCGCTCTTGAAAATTTGTTTCTACAGCGGTAAAACCAAATTCTACAAATCTGTAGAAACGGATTAGACCTGTCATTTAATATTTTCTAGTTGTGTACCTACTTGTTGTTGTTGATATCTTTCTCCTCTCTTCTTTTATCAAGGAGATATGGGCTTGAATGAAAATATCTCATGTATATTTCTTTTTTATTTACAAACTCTTTTTCAAACGTAGGTTATACAGAGTGTGTATTAAGGGTCGTCCATTAATCACATGAGGTTCAAATAGTGGGGAGGGGTTCAGAAAAAAATCCCTAAATATTACAAGGGGTTGGAGTGAGAATAATCACGTGTATTTATTTTACCGACGTTGATCTTCTACAACGCACAGCCCCTACAGCTGACTTACAAGTTGTTTATGTACTTGTCAGTGTTGAAGAACGTCTGGATAATCTGTAGTCTGAAGATAATTTTCATTATACGAGGTTTGTTCAACAGAAAAAGTGAATTTTGATTTTTTCAAAAAGTATCTATTCATCAATATCAATTTTGTCCCTTCTTAGTAATACCACTCAGATATATTGCACCTATGCCAGCGCTTCTCCAATTCCTCGAAGCATTTCTGAAATACACTTTTCAGTATGGCCATCAATAATCAATAACATCAAGTTCTTCGATTCCGAATTTATCTCATCAATTGTGTCAAAACGCTTTCCTTTCATTGGTCTCTTCAGTTTTGGAAATGGGACTCAAATCTGGTGAATACTCTAGTTGAAGCACGATTACAGTGTTGTTTTTGGCTTAAAAATCACGATCAAGCTTCGATGTGTGAGATGGTGCATTATCCTGATGGAGAATCCATGATTGGTTTTTACCCAATTTATATCGTTTGAACCGCATTGTTTCACCTAAACGTTGCATAACTTCCCTGTAGTGTTCCCTATTAACCGTACGACCTGTTGATAAGAACTCATGGTGCACCACGCCGTTGTAATCGAAGAAAAGAGTGAGCAAAACCTTCAAATTTGATCGAACTTGGCGTGCTTTTTTCGGTCTTGGCTTCTCTGGCCGCTTCCATTGGAATGAATTGGCCTTGATTTCGACGTCATAACCATATACCCATGTTTCGCCACGAGTTATGACCTTTTTGATCTATTCTGAGCGATACTAATGCGACATTGCTTTTGCTCAAAAATTTTTGCTCGAAAACAAGCTTCGCTGCCACACGTTTCATG